TTCCATTGCTGTTGCACAACCCTGCAGGCAGCTGTTCAGAAACATCGCTCCCCTCCTTTCTGTGGCTTCAGTTTGGAGTTGGCCTCGAGAGCTGAGTCACTTGGACAGTGACAAATGCTTCTCTGAGAGCACTTGCCCAGCCCCTCACAGCGCACAGCCCTGTTAATGCAAAGGCGTGGTAGTGGGGTCATCACCGAGAGGGAGACGACATTTTTGTCTTGAGCGTTCCCTAAACAAATACATATTTGGTATATTGGTTAACAGAACGGCAGAATAGTGTGCCGAGGAGCCACAGTTCTTGCCTGCAAGACTCAAATCCAGTTTGTGCCAGGGGCGTAAAGGTCTATTAACTCTAGCCGGCCCTGTTCATAACTCACTGTGTGATTTTCAGCTGAATTTGGAACAGATAACTCTGCAACTGCAGCCTGCATGACCCAGGTTCTAGATGTGCAGTGCTTTTACCTTGCTCCTATTATCAACCAAAGGCAAGGATGTCCCTTAACTTTGTTTCAAAAGCTCTTCAATCGCATGATATGTGTGTCTGAAGAGATCATCTCCAAGGGAAGCTGGCAGCCTCCGTCTCACATCCATCTGTTCCTGTGTTTCAGGGGGAGGGAGAGTTTATATACTGGAGATTTCATTCTGCTTTTTATGTTGTTAAATTTTAGCTCTTTCTAGTGTTTCTTCACTCCTTATAACCTTTTATTTTCTTTTACTTAAGTGACATGTCGGCTTAAGATGCAAGTAAGAGTTTGTTGTACACCTTTTAATGCTGTATAGGCAGAACTGTTGGATGTACAGAACATATGCTATAAAATTCCCCATTTAAATAACCAGCAAAAATCCAGGATTTGAACTTCAAGAATTTATGTTTTCCTAGAAATGTACTTCACTCTGTAGCAACACAAAACAGCTGAACTCTGTAGGAAGCTGTATATGCGTCTATACTTGTGTCACACCCTGACTTGCATACATTTTCTTAGACAGGGGGCTGGGAAGAGAGGGAAGGATTAGTATTTCACACCTTGCTCATTTTTTTCAGTCAAGATGCTGGTGTCTAGGTGCACATTCAAATGGAGAGAATCCCCTGTGACAGTCTGTACTCATGTTTCATGCATTCATAGCCTACCTCTTTATGCTATCAGCACATCCAGTGGTTGATTTCCGTCTCAGCCGTTTCCTGTCTTCACTTGCACTTGGCATTAGAAGGACATCTGGCAAGAGCCTAGTTTTGTCTGCATTTTTTGTTCCAGGTCCCTGGAGTGTAACACACTGACTCTTCCTTCATTGGTGCTAATTGCTCCCATGTCATCCACATGGAAAATTCCCAGGATTCTTTCTGCTCTGTATTTAGACAGGATTTATTTTGGTCTATCCTGCCTTCCCTATAACTGTGCCACCACTGTCTAGGGCCAAGTGCCTGTTGCTACATCTGCACTCCTCTGCTTGATCACAGTTGAAAGCTGCCCCTCTGTGGGTGCTTCAGACTAGTACATGCCAGCTCTGTCCCCACTGTAGACCCCAAGGATGCCTTATGGTGCCCCAGACATGTCTAGCCTACTGAAAGACTGGGATGGTCTTTGAAGTGCCACCTGTAATGCACAGGCTTTTAGTACTTGACCCCCTGCCCAAGATATCTGCTCTCTGTACAGTCCCATAACTCATTGTGCTGCACAAAAAGCAATCATTTCTCCAGTCTATAAACTTCTCTTGCCATCTAATGCACCTAATGCATGCTAATGCACCACATTCCCTATAGATCTGTGGTATAGGAGCCCTGACACTGGCAAGGCCAGTATTGCCATAATCTCCATAGCGTTCTAGTGGTCCTGTGCCATCTGGTCTTTGGTAGCAGTTTTCTGACACGCAGATGTCTTGGCAGCACTCAGGAATTATGGCATGCCCTGCTGTGCCAGGGCTGCAGAGAGGACATGCATTCCTCTCCAGTGTCCCCAACTATTAGTACTGTAATTCCTCCAGCATGTAGAGCCAGGCCACCTATCACGATTCCTGCATGCCGATGTCAGTTGTATTGGCTGACTGCACCATATTGGTGTGTTAGAGGCAGTGGCTGCTAATTCTCCTGCTTCCATTTCACTGCACGTTTCCTGACTTGTTTGTCTGCTGTTTCCAGGTCTGTCCTCTGCCTCCTTGAGGTCACTTCCCTACTCTTCTCCTTCCCCTTTTTCCAGACAAGGCACAAACAGGGAGCATGATGTGAGGGAACACATAGTCTTCTCCTAGGATGTGATGTCAGAGAACATTACAACTGTGCTTCGTTGTTGTCGAGAGTAGGAACCTTCAGTGGTGCTGAGGGTAAGCAAGGCAACATGCTGGCTCAACAAGGCAAAGTCCTGTCGCAGAACCTGGGAGACCCCTGCCAGAAGCTAGAGTGGTGCTGGCCAGGAAATGATGCAACAGCTGCCTCACAATGCTCAAGTGACGCAGTGCAGTTACAGCTTTGGGTCAGAAGTCAGTGATATTTGAGAAGCTGGATGTGGGGCTCCACAGACCTTTCTCTGCTTCTCGTCTGTCGTGACCTGTGTGTTCTCTAGAGGATTTCATCCTCTGATGGCCCAGCCTACGCACCCAAGAGGAGGTGGTGTGATATCCCCATGTCCTTATGCTCAGATGTAGGGACCACCACACCCTCCACAGTCTCAGAGAGAGCCATGTTGAGCTCACCTGATGCGTTGAGGCATTCTTCTGAAAAAGGAAAGAGCAGCGGTGATGTATCTGAAGGACAGGGTACGGATAGGTTGATCTGCCTCTCCCCTTGTCTCCTGCCTGCTGCTGGGACCAAGAGGGCAGGAAGAACATACTGCCAGCGCCTGGCAGGGGGAGCTGGAGGGAAGAAGATGGCAGCGGAGAGCTTTGCACAGAGGGAGACCAGGGCTAGCATTGTGGGGCTGCAGTCACAGCAGTATGGTACAGTTAGAATCAGGCACCCTGTCAGGCTGGGACACAATTACTTGTGGCTGATGGAGTCAGACTGTTCCCGTGTGATTGCTGCTCTGGGACTTGAGATCCAGGGACCCTGGAGGAAGCTGTGTGGGTACCTTAGGCAGAACAGGCAGAACAGGAAGGTTGGGGGTCCAGTGTGCTGCCAATGGCATTGAGACAGGGAGGATAGGCACAGTATTATCCATAACTGTGATTTATGAGCATTTCTGGAAACACCTTTTCAGTGCAGGATTCTTCTGTAACCTTCTCCATGTGGGGGGACAAAGGAAGTGCCTGCCATGCCACATCTAATGCTGTTCTCTCATTGATGCCATGTCCTTCTGTCTGCTTTGCTACTGCTGGCAATTTCTGTTGGCTGTCTTTCTTGCAAATGTTTTCGACTGGTCATTGAAATACATCCCAGAGAGCATTTTGATTTTAAGAGAGGTTTAAGAAAGTTGAATTTTAATAATTTTGTCATTTCACATGTCCTCTCACTGGGATTATTGAAAAATCCATACGAGTCACTATGGCAAAATCTTACTGAGGATCTTAAGACTAAAGGGAAACCATAACCAAAGGGTAAGAATGAGAAGCAAAGTAATAGGCCTGGGAGGGTGCAAAAGGGCAGAGTGTTCAGGACATGGCTTTTGTACCCAACCTGTTTCAATGTAGGCATTATAACTGGAAGCAAGGATGATAAAACATATCAGGGACCTTCAGAAAGGACCATACCAAGATGTACCAGAGAAGGGGTAGTGGAAACAAGAAGGTTCTAGGAGAGGACAAAGCAAGCTGGGACATCCACTACTACATCCAGAGTGTAGAGCCACTTAAGCCTGGTGGAAACTTATCTCCCTTCTCTGTGTGGATATGGGTGGGTGGCAACCTGGACAAATTTCCCTGTTGGAGATGAGCACAGTGATTCAGTGAATGGGAGAGATCTGGAAGCGGTCACAGCTGGAGCAGCCGTGTGCAAATGGTGGGCTGCAAAGAGGAAAGCTGGCAGCATGAGAGAGCAACTAGAAATGCCATTCCTGTTGGGGGCCAGGAGATATTGCATCATGATGTGGGATCGAGGTAGCCTTCCTCACACACATGGTGGTCCAGTGGAAGACTGTGAATGCACTAAGGGGACTTGTTCATTAGATGACACTCTTCAGCCTTCCTCTTTGTTAAGCACTGCAAAATTGCATTAACATGTAGCTTACAAAGCAAACAGTGCTTCCATAGCATTTCAGGTACCTGATAATTTAGTATTTTACTGTAATTCAGGTTTCTTTATCACTGTTGTGGTCCAAACTGAGTGAGGCCCTGTTTCATTTGGCATCTTAATGATTATGTTTTTAATAAAAGGAGGCAGAATGAGGTTTCTCACAAAGGTGACTTGCACTCATGCCAGTTCCTTTCTCTGGATATGTCGTTCTTGGGTATAGATCATCCACATCTGGCTCAATATTGCTATCTAGAGAAGACTTTTTGAATGTCTGAAGAGCTAGTAACATCATGACCTCATAGTTGCCTTGCAGGGATGCCCAAAAACTCACAGAGAAGAGGTTCTTAAAATGCATTTTTAATACCTCTTGAGATTTAGCAACCAAAAGTCAGTTGGGAAGAAGAGCTCTCTAAACCTCAGTTCCCTGCACTGATGGATGAGATGATGCTTATTTCAGTTCATATGGTTCCCTAGGGAGAACTCTGCTGCAAAAATAGAGAAAGCAAGACTTTATGTTAAAGAGATCTTGAGGTTAAACAAAACTAAAAAAATAGTAGAGAGTAATAATTATTGAGACACTTGCAAAAAAAATGAAAAAGAAAGGTGTGGGCTGTGCTGAGTTGCCTTTGCAAATCACCTTTTAGACTAGATCTCCATCAAATTAGTATTTGATTCCTTAAGATGTTTCTCTGCTGGAGTTGGATGCCCTAGCAACAAGTTTGCCTCTAGAGACATGCCAGGCTTTGCCCAGGGGCACGTTAGAGTTTTTTCTAAGTTTGCAGGTGCTTGTCATTCCTTCCTCCACTGCACATTGTTTGACTGGTTCTTCCTCCTGTTTCAGCCTGAAAGGATAGATCCTAGTGCATCCAGGCAAGGCTATGATGTCCGCTCAGACGTCTGGAGCTTGGGAATTACATTGGTAAGTGAGTAGCATTTAAAGCTTCTGCTACATGGTACTTTCCTTTGGGTAGCCTTAGTGCACTTTGCAGCATAATGGAGTTGATTGGTGTCAAATGCATGCTTGAAGCAAAGCCCAGCTGCTGTGCTGTGAAGTATTTGCATGTTGTGATTGAAGTGGGCACCTCTTGGCTCGTAAAGAATAGAATTCCTGTCAAGGCAGATGGCTCCCCTGAACCCCTGAGGATACATTAAGATGCAGCTATGTTTTGCAGCAAAAGAGATGTGAACAGGGAAGAGGTGTTGGATAGTAGAGGAGTTTTTTTATTCAAAATCTCAGATCAGAAAGGCTGATGAGTGTGGTGCTGCAGAATGAAGCACCTGACCTATGTAAAATAAGCCTCTAGTAGCCCTGTCCACTAGTGTACTAGTGTACTTCTGCTAATCCTGGATGTCAGCTGCTAATTCCTCTCTGGTAAACCACAATACTGGTGGGTACATGCATTGATAGTGTGAAAAAGTCATCCATTCCCAAGATGTTGAATTTGAAGAGAAAATGGGAGCAATGAGTATGAGTCAGTAGCCTCTATCAATGTGCTTTCTTCCCTGCTGGTGTTTTAAAATGATCATTCTAACAGTGTCCGTTTTCTCTAGTGATTGTAGAATGTTTGGGAAGGGACTGGAGAAGGATTTTGCCCTCCAACCTTTAAGCACCTAAATAAGAACATTGGTCCACTTTATAAAATCAATAGAGGAGACACTTTCACAGCATGGAAGTGTGGCATAGCTGGGTTAAATTTGGAGGTGTCTCTCTCCATTGACTGAATAGGGAGCGCAGGCTCCCAATGTAGGCACCAAAAATAGCTGTTGAGTTTAACTTCCCCCATGTCTCTGTCAGCTGAGCTTTGTATAGGGGATGGGATAAAGAATAAAGCCCTCTCTTGGGGGTTTCTGGGATACTTGTAGAGATTTTCTTATCCTGATTGAAATTCCCTTTGCGTAACCTCTCTGGTGTGGTTGCTCTCTTTTTGCAGTATGAACTGGCTACAGGGCGATTCCCCTACCCCAAATGGAACAGCGTGTTTGACCAGTTGACGCAGGTAGTAAAAGGAGACCCACCACAGCTGAGCAACTCAGAAGAAAGGGAATTCTCCCCAAGTTTCATCAACTTTGTCAACTTGTGGTAAGTGTTTCCTACTTGAAGCACATGGAATTTGCTAGTTTTGTCATGGTCAGATATTTGGTAAGAGTCACATGCCAAGCGCTTCCTAGGCTTAGTTTCACAAGTCTGCACCAACATGAGTGTGAAGCCTGCTTGCATTTCACTTCTTTGGAAGGTGATGAGAGACTCGTCATTTACTGTCTGAGTGGAGGCTGAAGGGCAGACCTTTGGATACTGCTCTTCATGTTAGGAATAAGGAGACAACCTCTGAGAGTCTGTGCTCAGGAGAGACATGATAAGACCCACTGCATGACAAGGTGAGGGCCTGTCATGTGCAGCCTGTTTTTTGGAATGAAATGGCTTTGGGACAGACCTGCTCTTTGCCTTTTCTTCTCCAGGCAGAAGCTTGAGACCCTTCACAGTACTATCTCATGGTTGTGCTGCAGGTCTATGTTAGTCTTCTCTTTTGCATAGCAAGGCCAGGAGGCCTTCCTTCCTGGTAAGAAGAGTTTCTACTCTATGTAGCGAGTGTCAGGACCTGTAGCAGGTGGTTTGCTTGGTTGCTGGCTTCACATCTTGTGTCAGATCTTGTGACAAGATCAAGATTAGAGACGCTTTTCTGAGAGGGCAGGACAGGGCCTCTGCAGTTTTGTCAGCATTAGATGGGAAGTGTCCATTTGTTTGCATGACAGAGATTTGGAGCAGTCTATCTACCTTCCACATGTTCGTGGCACTGGTTAGGTTAAGGGCTGACTGCAAGTTTTCTCACTAAGCACTTTTCCATTAGAATGCAATAGCTGATCTAAACTAATTTTGTTAACCTAACAGCGAAGCACACAGGAGGTCCTTCAGTGTGACCTGCATTCCTCTTCTGGGTCCCTCTGTTCCGGGAAAGACCTGTCAGGCTGATGGACAGGGTTGTCCATCTTGAAGCTCTGACACAGGAAGACACAGCTCTAGACAATTTTTAACTTTGTGGAGGTTTTGTTTCAGGATTTTCCATCTACTGGACATGCAAAAGGTGCTGTTTCAAAATGGAAAAGGCTTTTTTTTTTTTTGTCTTTCAAAATTAGGAATTTTTATGGAACCCCAGGTCCAACTGTCCTCTAGCTGCAATGAAGGCCTTCTCACTGTCTTTTGTCTGCAGAAAATAGAACATCAAAACGGCTTGCTGCTCAAAAGAAATTTCTCTTTCTCGGTAGGAAGACTGTGCGGTGTTTGATTAAAAAGTCAAAGTTGCTTTCATATGTGCAGTACAAGCAGTAGTTTCTATCCCATGTAGTTCTCCTTAGAGAAGAAATATCATTAGAGTTCACAAAGCTAGAAGACTGCTCTCTTACTTACATACTCATGAGTTTGGCTCCAGAGGACCCAAGAGAAACCTGTGTGACATCTCTGCTAAACAGCAGCATCTTTGGCCTGTGTATTCCATTGGCTCAATTCACATTTCCTGCCCATTTAGCTCTTCCAGGGTCTACTGCTATGGGACAGCCCCTATGTGCAGACCATGTGGCAGTTCCCAGTCTAATTCATTTAATCTGAGTTTGCAAATAATCTTACTTCTACCTGGAATATTTATGATGTGTCCATAGCAGTACTGTAATACATATTTTTCTTACTAAACTTTAGTTAAGTACAAACAATAAATGTTAATGTTTCTGAGCAGACAGATGAATCTCCAAAATGCTGTGGTTCTAGGCGAAAGGCATAAATCTTGTGGACATTACTCTGCAAACTTGAATCTAATAATCTTTCTATTTTTGTGCATTTAAGAGTCAAGAAGAATGGAGAACAAAGTCCTATAGTGGCAGTCACATGGCGGCTTGGATTTTGATGTTGCTGCCTGCTCACTCTGATAGAGCAGTGCAAAAAGGGTATTGCTGATAATGTGTGTGGGTTTTTTTTTTGTTTTTGAAGGGTTTTTTTTGCATCTGCTTTGGATCTCATCAAAACTGTGAATGCCTAGGTGGAACGTTTTTCCCCTTTTACCCACTTCCCTTGTGTTCTTTAGATGCCTGTCTAAAGTCACGTTCATCTTGGACCTATATACAGGATTAAGCTTACTGCTCCAAAGTTTGCAAAATATCCAAGCTTTGTTTCTGGCTATTTGGAGCTTCATGCTGGCAGCTGCAAAGTTAGTCCTTGCAGGAAGAGCTGCGAGGTCTGAGATCCAGAATGCCTGGGAAGGAGATTAGACATTCCAGCAGAAGAGTCGTACAGCACCTGATGCTCCAGATGGCCATTCCAGACGCACAGCTTCTCATCAAGCTTGAAAAAAAAAAGATTTGTAGGTCTTTTTTTATGAAAATACATAGAAATTTCAGAACACACCTTGGACTGTGAGCTGAAGTTCTGAATAGTTACATTAAAGGCATTGTGAGGAACACAGAGAATTTAAACTCCCAGAGATCAGTAAAGGAATAGCTACTGGATAGCAAAAGTTTGAAGTGAGGATGTTTGCATGGCAGCAGTGGGAATCCCTGCCCCCTCTGCATCTGTGCAGATCTGCAGTCAGGTCACAGGACAGAGAAGAGCCAAGCATGTACCATTGTCACCCTCTGCTTCTCTGAATAATTTATGGCCACACTGTGATTGTGCCTGAGCTTGAAAGAGATCCTCCTAGAATTAGTGTGGATGGAAGTGCTGCTGTTGGGAATTAGGTTTAACTATCCTAGTTTGGGCAAGTCACTACATCCTACCACATCCTACCGCACCCTCATCTAACCCTGCCATTCTCAACATGACTTCCTCAGAGTTCTGCAGATACCTGCTGACTCAGAAATGGTGGTCCTCACAACAGCGTATGAGGCAACCTTCCCTGCAGCAGCTCAGCACTACAGCAGTCAGAGGCAAACTATATTGCCTTTTCCTTGGGCTGCCTCTGTACCCACCTCCTGTTCCCTGTGGCTGGGAGGCTGCTGGCTGTCTCTGCAAACACCGTAGCTTGCACCTGATGCCCAGTGTGACATGGTGGGAAAGGCTGCATGTGAGTGCAACAGTCCAGCTGGGGTGTCTTTGCCAGGATGGATAAGCAAGAAAATAACATCAGTCTGAAACATTCAAATAAGAGCAGAAGATGATCCCTTCTGTGCATTCCCCCAAAAGATGCTCTCAAACCTTAATTTCATCCCCATCCTCTCTCTTACTGTGACTGCAACTCTCTGGTGTTGTGTGTTGCCTTGCTGAGCCCCTTCTCACTCAAGGCCCTGCCTCATCACCACGCTGCTCCCTCTCTCTTTCTCCAGTCACTCCACTGGGCACAGCAGAGCTGTAGCTCGCAGCACAGGGTGCCACAGGGCTGCAGGGACATGCAGCCAGCAATCTGTCCCATGCTTAGCATGCCATTAACCTGCCAGGTCCGTGCCCTTCCTTCCTGTGGGCTCATCCCACCTCTTTGAACATGGCACCACCATCTCTGAGCTGGTTACCTTGGACTCACTGAGGCATTAGTGAGAAATAGGTGTGAGCTGTCTTCCAGCAGTGCTGGAAGGAGCAATGGATGGTGCCCTGGGCACCCTTGGCCTGGCTAAAGAGGGGCCCAAGGTCCTGCAGTCATGGGAGGATGTCTCCAGTTAGCCCGTGAATCTGTTTGGCTCTTGTAACTTTGCTGGGAGGTCTGTGAGGGCCCCAGGACTGCGGGTGAGCCTGCCTTGCCACCCAGGAGAGGGGAGCTGATTAGCTCAGGCACAGTGTCAGGCCTGGTGCCCTGGGTTCCCCCCACTGTGCCTGCTGGGCATGTGCCAGGGCCAGCAGCTCTGCAGAAGCTAGTCTGGGCCCCCTGGGACCTGATCCCCGGCACCTCCATTTTGTGTCCCCACAGTAATCCCCTGCACTGGCTCTCTGAGGAGCTGTGTCTGTCTCTTCAGGGACCCTGGGACAGCATCTTTCCCCCAGACATCTTCCCGAGCACTGCATTCCATCTGTGTCCTCCTTACCTGCCACAGGTTCTCTTGATGGCCTTTGCTGCCACCTGCTGTCTCCACTGTGGTCTGGGTTATGACTTAGCCCTCAGTGGCCTAGTCCTTAGGCTGTCTGTCTCCTTGTGCTAGAAACCAGGCAGCAGATGGGGTCATTCCAATGATGGTGGCTTTTGGGACACAGTGCTGCTGCCATTGTGCTTGCCTGGATGAGCCCCTCATCCAGCAGGGGATGTTCTCCAGCTTGGCATTCCTTTTCCTCACGCCCTGCAAGGCACCTTCTGGCTACGTGCAGGGAAGTGCCCTGTGGCGATGGCAGTGGTGTGGGGCTGCTTTCAGGGGAGTGCTCAAGAGCAAGCACTTTGTCACACTTTGGGCTGAGCCTTTTGCATTGTGCCTTGAGGGCTAGCTATTCCTGCCATGGTGCTGGCAGGCTGTCTCTCCTGTAGCACAGGGACCTGCTCCACAGTGATCCTGGCTGCATCCAGCACATGACAGAGCCTGGCTGTGGGTGTCTGGTTGGTGAAGACAGAGTGTAAATGGGAGCAAGGGCTTAATAAAGCCTGCTGTCACTGAAGAACTGCCACTGGGGCTGTTCTCCCACACCAAGAGAAGCAGGGCCCAGAGTCCCATCCTGATAGCCACCCAAAGCTGCCACCCTCACAGGCCTGGGAGAAGGTGGCAACCTGCAGCCGCGGTTTTGTGTAGGGGAGACAGAGAAAGAAGGGGAGGTGGAGTGAAGCTAGGCCAGCCCAATGGCCTCTTCATCTCTGAGCCAGAGGGACTTGTCAGCTATCACTGTGCTGGTGGTCCCCTAATCTCTCCTGGTTACACCAGCAATTCCCCCTTCCGTCTGCCCCCTCCTGTCTCTTCCTGGAAGTTGTTGCTCACTCAGGTCTGGATGTGCCAGATGTTCACCAGTGCTCTGGATGAGCCAGCCTGGGGCCTGGGAGCCTGGACCTGCTATTGCAGATTGGTTCGTCTGTCTTGTGAGTGTTACAGCTCCATCCCTGCCTGCACACATGCCGAGAGGACTGTGTTGTGTCTATGTTTCCCTGAGAAGACTATGTGCTCCCTGGCAGGCAGTATCAAGTCTCCTCTGCTCATGTGCCATGCTGCCCTCCTGGCTGGACAGCAGACCAGAGTCACCCGTTGCTGCTATCTGAAAACTCCAGTTATGCTGAAGTCAAACCTGTTTCCATATGGAGCCAGCAACAGTTGTGATGGGTTTTAGCTTGCAGCTCTCTGTCTCCAGCAGCATTTGGTGATGGTCATGGGATTTAGGTTTTTGCCAGCACCCTCAGTCATGTGGGGAGGAAGGGACTCCATGTGGTGACTCATAGTATGAAAAGTATGTTTATTTCAGGAGCCAAATTCCTGGACTTGAATGGCTTGGCCAGCTGTGAATCCCAGTGTGACAGCAGTGAAATCAATTTCTTATCCTGTAAAAAATTAACATTTAATGTCTGTAATGACTTCCTAAGCCTGCCTGTTCCTTATTCTCTTTCTGCTTTCTTTAGCCTTACAAAGGACGAGTCCAAAAGGCCAAAGTATAAAGAGCTTCTGGTAAGTGCAAAGCATGGCTGATTGTGCCAGCTGTTACAACTGTACAGTAGAGCTGGATTACACATCTGGGGTAGCTCTGTGTTTTCTTGGATGATCAAGGCACAGTGTCCGTCTCCACAGCCTTAGGGAAAACAGTGCTTTGATGCCATTGTCCCTGGCCCTACATGATCTGTGATCATTAGTGTCTGTACATAAATACCCACTTGGTTTTAGGAGATCAGCTCACACAGAAATGCCGTGTTGCAGTGGATTAGCTAACTGGACTTGCCTAGCCTGTGTGATTAAAAGGGCACAGGCTCAGGCAAAAGCTAGGTTTACCCTATAAATTCTGCCTTTGTTTGAGATCCTGGCACCTAAACTCAGCATTGTCAAATTGCTGGCAAACATGTACATGTAAACGTGTAAATGCTTCCAACGTACCAGCCACACAATGAGGTTGTGAGTGACAGGCAAAACTGCATCCTGAAAAAGGACAACAAAGTGTCCTGGAACAAGGCATCAGCAGACCCTGTGATGGGGAGGCCCTGAAGGAGGGAACTCACAGGGGCTAATGGCTGGTTAAGTCACACCTAGCAACCACACCTCTTCAAGGATCTCTGGGCAGCTGGAAGCCACCTCTTCAGAGAAGATGCAAAACTATGTCCTGAAGTCCCTCCCTGATGGTGATGATGTGGTATGAAAGGAGCCTGCCTTGTGTCCTGGCCCCATTTCACCTTGATCAATGGCATTCTGTCTGCCAGAATTCCTTCAGTAGTTTCAGCATGCCAACCTGTTACCACTCCTTGGTCTTTTATCTCAGGGCAGCGAATGTGGAACCCAAGATTTGAAACAGAGGTGGTTTGGGAAAGTAGCAGAATAGAGAGCAGAAAGCACATCTGGACCAGGGTGCCATAAGCAGAACAATCCCTGCCTAAAGAGAGTCACTATGTCTTTTCCCAGCTGCTCTGAGTTGGGCTTCCTGGGCAGAGCAGAGGATCAGGGTTCAGGACCACTAGGTTTGGGACCTGGCCTCCTGTTTGACCTCCACAGGTCATATCTTCCTGTCACCCCTGTATCCCTGTTGCTGAAGAGACTGATGATGAAATCTCTCTTGAAAGTATTTCAGCAGATGTCCATGAACCATGTTACAAAAGAGCCAGGTGCTGCTCATACTGCACACTCACTGTGTCCAGTTCGGCAGGTCCTGATCCCCATGGATGCCTGTCCCAAGCTAGCTCTGAAGTACAGCTCTCTGTATTGCACATTTAGTTCCCCTTTTGTAAATGCCATGGTCAAGGCTATATCCTAGGGTCGTACGGTCACCACCGAGTCCTGTGTTCTTGAGTTAGTCAAATCGTATGCTAAACTTTTAACTGGGGGAGCCAATCTGTGTCACTAAGGTGAAGTAACCTTGTTGTTTCTTATCTGATTCCAGAAACATCCCTTTATTCTGATGTATGAGGAACGCACAGTGGATGTTGCATGCTATGTTTGTAAAATCCTCGATCAAATGCCAGCAACTCCCAGCTCTCCAATGTACGTCGATTGATATTGCTGCTACATCAAACTCTAGAAAAAGGGCTGAGAGAAAAGGCTGTAAAGAATTTTCATCACATATTGCAGTGTTTTTAAAGCTCGCCCAGACACCATGTGCAATAATATTGGTGTTATTTCCATCCTGTCTGTATACTGTTGTCACATATAAAGTGAATCCCTGTAATACCTGATCACACAGTGTTAGTGTTGGTCAAAGAGAGACCTCATCTTGCTCTTTTGTGGACATATTCATGAAATGTGGAAATAAGTACATTTATTTGTTGACCGTGATTGGATAGCACCTAAAATTCATTTCTAGACTCGAAACTTGGAGACTTCTCAGCAGCTACTGGAAAGATTTTTCTCTCAAACTCTTCCAATTGTTGTTTCAAGTAATAATAAAAAGCAAACAAACAAAAGTTAGGCGTTGTCTGTCTGAACATTAAGAGACTTTGCCTGGAGGGAGAAGAACTTGCTTAACCAACGAGATGCTTTGCCTTCTGGAGCTAGAAAGGCAAAGGAGAATTTTATTCTTCACAAAGTGCAATAGATTTACCGCTAAGAAATTCTGTTGCTTTACAGTCGCAGTGTACTTTCTGGGGACAGTGTGCTCAGCTGAACTTCCTGTTAAAGAGAGATCATGTTAAATATAGTGAATATGTCTTTACCAAAAATTTGTTGCATTGAAAGAGGCTAACATTAAAATATTCAGAGATGGGACATAATGTATTCTTCTCTCCTTTTACCAAGCCAGCCACTCTTCACTCTTAACTAGGTGTCCTGTAAATTGTTACCTGGTAAGATAAGACCTTTGACCTGAAGAATTATTAAACTACTCGATTGAATTTAACCTGCTTGTGACCTGTTTTATAGCTGCACAGTGTTCACCAGCTGGCTTTGCTTTGACTTTGACAAGTGCAGTTCACAAAGTCTGCAGCTGTTTTAATGAGCCACAAATGAATGTCTGTGATTCCTAGTCAATGCTTATCATTCTCTTCACTGTCTTGAGCCCTGATGCTAGCACCTCTTCACAGACCCCAAGTCTCGCCCAGCAACGCTACCACTTACAAGCCCAGTATCCCTCAAAAGATAAATCTTAGCATTTTCTTCTCTCTACTCCAAGCAGGATGGTGGTGATGTTCCCCATCCCACACCACTTTGGGGCTTTATGGCTACTTGCATTGCTGCAAATATGAGATACTGCTTTGCTTGTTGGAGACCTTGTTCATCTTCTGAATATGTTTACCCTCTTTTGTTAACCCTGAGTAGCTCTTGTTTCTGTACCCTAGAATGAACCTCACTAAGATTGTTTGGTGAAAGGCAGTAGAAATTGTGGTAGATTTTTTTTTAATTTGGCATCTTCTTCAAGGATGATTTTTTTCATGAAAATAAGTAGTTTTCTTTTTTTTTTCAAAATGTTGCAATATCCAGACATTTAGTAGTGTATCAGTGATGTAATGGGGCCTGTGGGTTCTCTGGCTCCATTATGTCATTTTGAGTTGACTAGCTTGGGCACTTGGTAGGACTTTATCAGTATTAGAACAATTGACTGTCAAAGCCGTGCAGCAAAACTAGATGCAGGACACAAAGGGCTAGAGATGCAATAGGAGTGAAAACACAGCGGTACTGGCAGGATTTCTGTGGAAGGTGCTGCCCATCTTGAAACCAGTGCTACCAAATGAAAAATAAGGCTGATGTGAAACCACTGGAGAACAGCATCTCACTTGCATCCCTGCCCCAGCTGCTCAGCTGAGAAAGTGGAAAGACAAGGCAACGCTCATGTGGATTCCTGGCATGTTTCTGGCCACTGATGAGATGCCCTCATATACAACCTTGCAGTAGTGTGTCGTGTTCAGCTTAGCTGTCTGGAACTGTTCCTGTCTGACACTGCAGGCAGAAGGGATCCTGTGGGACATAGAGTGCCCTCAGCTTCTGCTCAGCTGCACACAAAGCAGTCTGCAGCGCCTGATAGCTTGGGCCCTTCTGGGATTATGTTCCTAACAGGTCTGTTTGTCAGATGACACAGTCACTAAAGTCTTATCAAGATGAACAGAGCAGAATTCTCTGAAGTAACTAATTGTTCCCAGCAGCCCTGATTAATCATGTAGCAACATGGAAGTATTAGTCAAGCAAATATATGGTATCTAAATATCTAATGTCTAATGTAGTAATTCTTCCCGGAGCCTTTAGCCTCAGAAAATTCAACTTTTCTTTGATTTGGCAAATCGCAATAGCTATTGATTCATCTCACCAACCTTCAGCCACCTATAATGTGATATGAGGCACTAGTAAATTTTACAAGATGCTGGCTAGGCTGAATAAAGGAAGATAGACTGTATAAAGAAAGACATATTCAGAGTTGCTCTGCCCTTGTCCCCACCTTTCAGACATTAATGATTGATTCACAACTTCTCTCTGATTACAGCAGCAGGCCAGACAACTTGTAGAGGGCTAACACTAGGAGAGATGAATTATTCCCAGAATCTATTTCCTTCCACCACAAGCAACAGTGTTGCCCTGCTCATTCAGTGCAGCTTTGAGTCTGTTCTCCACTGCTAACCCCACACTAAGCTCATCTTTAGCAGTGCAATTAATTTGCTCTCAACAGATGGGAAATGGAAACCAGAAGCTTTGCTCTCCCAGTATCAAAGTCGGGTTTGGAATGTGCTGTGGCATAGATGGCTATACAGAAAGGCAGGTCTAGCATATTAAGTGTAGATTATTATAAACTATTAAGGGTGCACCATTTATTACAATGTATCTTTATTAAAAAAAAAAAAAAGGTGTATAGTGTTCAGAAGCTGTGAAAATAGTGTAAGAACTGTACATTGTGAACTCTGGTTATTTTTTTCTTCTTGTACCATAGAAAAATGTAAAAAAAGTATCAAAAAGCTGATGTGCAGGGATGTTGCCTTATTGTCTGTAAAATGGAGCTCAGGAACATAACTATTTCAAAGAGCTTCAAAATATTTTATCTGATATCCTGGTTTGACTTCCTCCTCTATAAGATATTATACATGGAATCAGAGTGTTTATGTAATAGTTCTATCCTTTTGCCTGCAGGTCAGTTGTAATAAAACTAGGATGCGACTGTGACCTTGTTATTTTCATTTTGTAAGGTCAGACATAAATGGGAAGATTCATAAAAAGCTGTTGAAATACCTGACTTCCAGAGCCTTCCTCCGGGTGGAGGTGCCTTGGCAGGAGAGAAGCAGCCTTCAGTTAGACACTGCTTATGCTCAATTAAACAGGAAAAAAAAAAAAAAAAAAAGAAAAAACACAGGGGGACTTGGATGTATTTTCTTTCTCTGGAAGATTGTTGAGAATTCAATAGCTCCTCTATGCTCTTGGGTGCCTCTAAGATCAGACCTGCTTGCTTCACAGAGAGCTCTGATGGGATCTGGTGGCTCACGATACTCATCCCTGTGGGGAGGGCAGGTGGCTGTGCCCACACCCCAGGGACAGGGCAGCTGCGGCCTCTTGCCACAGGTAGAAGCTTCAGGTAGAAGCTGATGCTCACAGCCTTACAGGTTTCTTTCTTTTTGCAAGAGTGATGACTGTCTGCAAAGTCCTGACAATCTGAGAGGACCTAGTCCTGGGCAAATCCCACTACAAGGTCTCCTGGTGTTGGGACAAGTGTCTGTCCTGCCTGGAAGCCATGGAGGCCTTGGACAATGTTCTGACAGGTGGCCAGCTCAGCATAAGTGGTCCCCAGAAGTCCTACTAGGAAAGAAGGCAGTGTCAGAACAGAGTGACGGCCATGAATGTCTGTAATGCTCAAACTGGCTTGATGGATCTGTCCCCGGAGTGCAGGATTCAGTGAAGGGGAGAGCAAGAGAATACTGGCAGGCAGCAGTGGTCATATGACAGTTTAGAACCAGAAGTACTTACGAATAAGTGGAGTAACCTGACGTTGACTCTTGCAGTATCTCTTCATTTTGAGAGTGAGAATTTTGTCATGAGAAGGGAAGGAGGAAACTGGAGCTGAAGAAACTATTGTTGCGCAGAGATTCATAGTGTGTTTGAAGTTACAGGTGGTTAGAGTTAGAGGTGGTTAAAGTCTGTCAGCTGGTGTAGATTCAGTGTATCCACCATATCAAGGTTTCTCTGGAAGGTTCCCATTCCCCACACAATTCTTGACTTTTTTGGACCACTTTCTGTCCCCACTCTTCAGCCAGTACCCAAGATGCCTGATTCACTGAGCTCCAAGCGAAAGACAGAATCCAGACAGATACAGGGAAAAGAGTCTTCACTTGCTGGGCAGACCCTGAAAGATGCACCTCCTCACCTCAAAAGTCCTTATTCCATCTGCTGCTGAATCTGAGCTGCTCTGGGATTCTGTTTCTTTTACACCACAACTTCCCTTTGCATGCTGAATTTGTTCTCAGGGAAGCAGTCAGAGCTGATGTGAAGAAGCCGAAAGAAGTTGGCGGATGAATGAGAGTCCACCTGCCCATCCTAATACTGGCTATTCCCATGCTCTGCAGCATGCAGAGCTAGAAGATTCCCTCTAACCTCCCTCTTTCCCCGCCATATACGACATGTAAAAGGGACTGTTATTTGTGGCTATTTCAGTTCCTCTCAGCTGCCCTGTTGAGCTGATGCTCAATTTTTCTTCCTGCAGACATCCTTGCTCATTTGGACCTTCACGGCCTTAACTGAGGACCCCTGTTGTCATTGTGTCACTGCTGAGAGTGGTGGTATATCAATCTTCCAATCTACGTTCCCATGTGCCTCTAATGTCTTAGACAGGACCCATACCTGACTAGTACCACTATTTCTTCTGCTTTGACCAGTCTGGCGTTCCTCGCTTGAATAAGCATAGATGGCTTTCTTCAGTCCCAGAGCTTGAAGTCCTCCTGTGGCCAACAAGACCAGGTCCATATTGCTTACATCTATCCTCAGGTCCTCCAAAGGTTTTCAGTGCTGAAAGGTGACCAACAGATCCCTAAGAAGACACCATGTTTATTGCATTTTCTCTGGATGGTTCTGACAGAACTGGTTGCTGTGGAATCTGCTGAGACAGGCCCTTCAGCACTCATTCTCCCTAGGATGTCTCTTTCTGGCCGAGCTAAAACAGACTCTCTACAGGTTCATGCTCTCCCTGCCAGCATCACTTCACCAAGCAGCAGCTTCATCTGCCTCGGTACTATCTTGGCACCACTGGCACTACCCCACTCTCCAATTTAATGTCAGGGCCTGATGTGAGGCCTCCATCTGCTCCTTCATCCCCATTCCTGGGGCTCCTGGGCTCATAAGCTAGTGACAGCAGAGGCAGATGGAGTATGCAGTTGTGATGCGCCACTAGAGGGGCATCCGGGATTCTTTTGGATTCCAGGGTTAGTTGCACTGAACTCAAGAGATCATCTTTTGTCAGATATAAGAATTCATTAGATCTAAGCGGTTCTACACATATGACAGACACTGGACAACACTAAACAGTGTACAGCAGACAATCTACAAGTATAACAAAGCTAAGAATTAAAAACAGACTACACAGATCTCTATGGTTAAGTCGTGGAAGCACAGTACAATGACTATTCTCAGACGCATGATATAATGACCGCTCTCACCCTTTCCTTGTCCTTATGGGCCGCCCCTCCGGTATAGTTTTCCCCAGATTATTCTCACCACGCTCGAGCTGCGCCAAGAGGATTCAGGTTCTCTCTGGCAGTTGGCATCAGGGGCATCCCCACTGATGGGTGGGTTGTCGGGTCCACAGGCCAGCTGATGGTGAGTCCAAGTCCACACAGAGGTATGTGGCTTGCTTTCTTTTATCCTTCCCAGGCTTAGTTCATTATTCAGTCAATCAGTGCCAGACCATAGCTGAGCAATGGAACAGATGGCCTC